AAAAAAAAAAAGAAGAAAATGACCCTGCCTAAGATAAAATTCAACAAACTATAAATAATTTTCTAATTCTCATTAGATTTAAAAATAAAATAAAATTATCACACTGTGCTCGAGGACCTTACTAACATGACAAATAAAAAACCAAAGAAATTATTTCATTTTATTTCCAACTAAACCCTTTAATTTAGGCATGATATCTGCTTTATTAATGGGTGATGTAAAATAAAAATATAATTTTGACCGATCAAATCTTTTATCACCGATCGAATATACCTTTTTTTGGGTTTTACGTAATTTTTTTGAGAAAACAGATTTTATGGGAATTTTTTGATTAAACCGATGTAATAGGAGAAAACAAATAAATAAAATATTAACCTAAAAATAGGATGCATTAATTAATGTTGACTTTTCTTACTACTAAATATAGTAAATAGGATGACTTATTATATAAGTATAGATTATAAAACAACTCTTTCATGACGAATTATATTAATTATGGCGATTTTTATTACGAAAACGCCATAAAGATATTCATCACGGAATTTTTATAAATTCTGTCAAATAATAAATTTTGTCACTACAAATAATAGTTAGATGACAAAATTAAGTTTTCATCATTTAAACTTGTTTTTATATGACAAAATAATTGTTTATATGACAAATTTTTCATAATAAATGGGACAAAATTATCGTCATGAAAGATGACCAAACAACATGACGGTACCTATAAATGTCATTAAAAGTGAAACATTTGGTGTCAGGTTCGTAATTTGTCACCTATACATATTATGACGCGGCTACAGTGACGAGATCTGTGACGATAACGTCATCAATTTACTTTTTTGACGAGCACGCCTATCCCGCCTTCCTTCCACTCTCTCCTGCAACTGGCGGAGTTGCTCAGCCATCCTCTCCATCACCCTATCCCTGAGATCTCCTCCTCTGCCATAGCTCGACACATCCTCCTCCTGAGTTCCGACCACCGTTGTCGGCGTAGTGGTAGCTGGGATGTTTGGTGAGTGACCTGCTGCACCGCCTGCGCCGCCGCGTTGGCCATCATCCTCTGCATCTCCTCCCTCGTCATCGTCACCATCTGTTGGGCCGGAGCCGCAGTCACTCCTCCCGGTTGTCCTCCAGTAAACGGCGCCACCGCCTGCACCACCGGTCCTCCTTTCTGAGTCACGACAGGATCTTACATGCGATGGCGCGGGAACCGCCATCGGTGCTACTCCACGAGCTTCCTGCTCTCTGCTCGTGCCTTCCCCCGTGACCAGGACTGCTGAGATGACACCCACACCTTGGGATGTATGTGTTGGGGCAACCGGTGTCTGTAACGGCCCAGAAAAACCAGGTGGTGGTCCTGCTCCCACCGGCCAGGTTATCGTCCAAGCATCGTCGAACGACGCTTGCAGATTCATACGAGGAATTCCGTCTGCCATGGTTGAGCTGACAACACAACTTTTTTAACAGAAGTCCCCACAAACGGCGCCAATAATACAAGTGTAAATGCCCGACCAGCTGGAAACTGCTCCAAGATCGTCTTCCTCGCTGGTAGAATGTCGAATCTGCAAATAACTCTCACACAGGGGGGTTTTTCCGGTGAAGAGCCTCCGACGCTCAAGTCAGTCTTGAGAAGATGAAAAATATGTGTGGAAAATATGTAAGTATGAGAGATTATGTCTAAAACAAGAGATCTCGTCCCTATTTATAGAGACGAGTTA